TGCGTTTGTTTAGGAGGAAAAATAAGAAAGAGAATTCCTTCAATTATAATAGGCCCTTCGCACGTTCAGTGCTCGGGCCCTAAATATACAAATACTACTTTTCAATTGGTAATTGTGCCCCTTCTCCACAATTTCAGACTTACAACAAATAAACTCCAGTTTTGTTTCTTAAAACCAAAGTAGTTGGATATTTCCAAACTAGTTTCCTCCACAATTACAAAAATGAATCCAAGGATATGGTTGGATTTCAGATCAGTAGGGGGTTAAAGTAAGGTTGTAACTAATTATTTTTGCAAGGGGTAACTGTAATATTATTACTGAAATGTATTAATAATTAATTTACACTACTAGTTACTTGGGAAAGTAATATTATATTATTTGCAGTGTGAAGCTGCCAAAACACTTTGCACTTTCTGTGACTAGCTTACTTCAAAAATAAAAGTAAACTTGTGTTTTGCCAGTTAAATGCTTTAAATGTGAAGCTGCAGCAGTAGGAAATGTTCAGTTTTCCTTAGCAATAACTTTTTATTTTTTTTATTTTATAATTTTTTTTATAAAAAATAAAAGTATGCAGGCTGCAGCTGCATGGTGTGCAGCAACAGGCTAGCTCCCCAAAAGTGAAACCAGAACATCTGGATGCAACATGATGACTTTTTTGTGAGCCAAGCATTTTAAATGTCAAGTCTACATCATAGACAATCACGTTCATGTAACTGTGGGAAGCCACGGTTGATATTCAATTTATTGTGGGTCCTAAGCGTAGCAGTAAAATGTTGAAAATTGAAATCTAATAAACGATTTAAAACACCAACTTCAGGTGCTCTTTTACTTCCAGTTCAACAATGAGTGGCTATCATGTTTCTAATATATGTCTCTATTCATGAACTGACATCCGACTGCTTCTGCAGGGATTTCAGGAGAGAAACTGGAGATCGACCCTGTCACCAATCAGAAAGCCAGCACTAAGTTCTGGATTCGGCAGAAACCCATCTCTATTGACTCGGACCACCTCTGTGCCTGCGACCTTGTAGAGGAGAGAAGCCCCAGTGAGTGGACCACCGAGACACTGGCTTCATTTTCACATCTGTACATTCTATACTTCACAAAAACAGAAATGTAGTAGCTCTCTACTGAGAAGGACTCTGTCCTTCCCTTGGTCCAAAAACATGTCGCCAAAAGCCGATCCTTAAGATCAACTAGGGACATTTCTGGTCTTAAATATTTGCATTTCCTGTTGCATGTTCAGTGTCTAACGTGCTCAACAGGCTTTGTCTTAGGTAACTGGATTACATTTGATCATGTCAGAGCTGACCAAGCTAATGAAGCCATGAATGCAGGCACATGAAGTGACAGTGAAAATTCACTTTGTCTTTTTTGTCACGTAAATGTACATTCAGTTTAAGCATTATGCAAGTCTTTTTCTTATTATAGCGCCTTCCTCTCACACGATAATGCCAGATTAAATTGACGTTTCACTTAATCTTGTTAACAAACTTGAGTCCCATGTAGAATCAGATGGCTTTTCTATAATCCTGCTCACATCCCACAGCCAGTCATCTTCCTCAGCTCAGAGATAGATCTGACACTTCCATGGTTTACCTTTTCAGATCGCACAAAGACGTGACTGAAGATTTGCAGCCAGTTAGAGATGGAGTGACTAGTGCATCATTTCTGTCTCATTAAACAGTTTTCCTCTGTGCCCAGGTCATGCGATATTTAAGCTCACCTATCTCAGCAACCACGACTACAAGCCACTCTACTTTGAGTCTGATGCTGCTACTGTCAATGAAATAGTGCTAAAGGTGAGTTCTGGTTGGATGTCTGTGCTGTGTCTTGTTTCTCTTTTCTAAGGACATATTTTAACAGGTGGACATGGGCTTGAAACACATCTCTAGCATTTTATGAGCTGTCCAGGGTGCATTAGTCTCGTTCAGTATCATATAGTGACATATTGGATGTGACAAAGCATGAGTGGCAGCAGAGACTGTTAAAGCTGCGGTAGGTAACTTTTATAAAAATAACTTTTGTCATATTTGCCGAAACTTTCTCTATATCCTGACAGAAGTACATGAGACAAATACTCTCAAATACTCTGTGAAAAAATCAGGTTCTTCTTGCTCCTCCTAGTGTTCCTAATGGTATTTTAAAAAATCCACCTGGCCTGAACGAAAACAACCAATCAGAGCTGAGCAAGATAGTTGATTGAGTCTGAACCACAGCCGCTTTAATCAGTAATCAGGTTAAATTTCTCATGTTTATTACAAACCACATTTCATAGTCGATTTTGTAGTGCAGTCTGAATCTCTCAGTATTGTTCGTGGATTTTGACCTCACAATATGTCGACCACACAGAGGTATAGTGGCCAATGAGGTGTCTGTATTTCTATATCTATGGTTCACAAGCACTGGGTCTAGGTTTCTGCTAAGTTGGCCAGTCAGAAGAAAGTGTGCTTTTAAAGAGGGGAGGATTAACTGAGGTGCTGCATGAAGGGCCAGTATAAGATAAATAAGGATGTTTTTGAAGAGTAAATAATGCAAAGCTAGTCTAGTAGAGTCTCAGACTGAGAATATAGACCTGGAAATGAGCAAAATAGGTTTAGAGCGTGTTACCATGGGTGGATAATTAACATGTAATTTTCCCCTATTTATTTTCAGGTGAACTATATCCTGGAATCCCGGGCCAGCACCTCCCGGGCCGATTACTTTGCCCAGAAGCAGCGGAAACTGAGCCGCCGGACCAGCTTCAGTTTCCAGAAAGACAAGAAGACCGGCCAGTAGACAAACTGAAGCTGCTCAGCCACCTGTCTGTCTGTCTGTCTG